GCTGCAGGTCCCACCACTGCTGCCCAGCACATTGCAATTCTTGTGAGGGTGGCACTTGCCCTGGGGCTTCTTTGTGGCTCTAGCTCCTTGCCAAAGACTCGCTGATGTTTTTCTCTGGATTCATTGCCCATCTCACCCTCCCAGTTAGCCCAGCCTGACATGGGAAAGCCACTGGTCAAACACCAGCCAGGCTGGTGGCTCCTTCCCTGCCGCTGCTTGCAGATGGCTCAGCCAGCTGCTGCTGAGAATTGGCCCCAGTTCTCACAGCTTAAATCTGAGGATCCAAACAGGCTTTCAGGTGGTTCACAGTGCCTCTGCTCAGGCCTTCCAGTCTGCCCTGGTGGGACTGCTCCTTTTGTCTTTCAGGGAAGTGACCACCTCATCTTCCTCATCCTCCCCAACCACGCTGCTCCCAGCTAACATCCCCTTTTTTATCTCTGCCACATTGCTCACTGTCCTGCAGCCACCACGCCCTGCCTGAGCTTCCCCTCCTGTCTCCAGCTCTGACACCCCAGCCTTTGTTGAAAAAAGCAGTTTTGGCCCCAAGGGATTCGGCTCCATGTGCCCCAGCCCCCAGGTCTTCTGCTGGGATGTCACCGCTCCTTCCTCACCCCTCCGCCTACTCCAGGAGGAGACAGAGCAGCCAACAGTCAGTTATAGCTTCTGGCAGGCTCCAGCTAATCCTTTTGGAAGAGTTTCACCAGCCTCCTCTCCCCAAACTCCTCAGGGGCTCTCCAGTTACTTCCCAAATACCTCCACGCACTCGGCTGCAGAGCCAAACCCTCCAAGCCTGGGACACCAGTGTGAGGTTGTCAGGACAACACAACCAGCCACCCAAGGCACAGGTGTTACGCTGCATCTCCAGTTCCATGATCTCATGCTGCATTTTCCAGGCAGTCCCTGCCTCTTTGAGCAAGAGTTGCTCACTCTTTCCCTTCTCCTCCTCCTCCTCCTCGCTCTCTCATGCACAGCCTCGGGGCTCTCCGTGCTTTCATATTATTTTGAGCTTGTGTTGAGCACAGACTTGTTTCCTCGCAGATGCTCTTGGGAACGCGCAGAAAAAGCCTGAGGCTTGGTGGATACCTCCCTGCACAGCCCCTCCTCTCCCAAGCAGATACCATTGCATCTGTGCTGCGAGGAACAGAGGCCAGAGCTGCTGGGGGGCCAGCCAGTTTCAGAGCCCTGAGCTGAGATGCCAAAGCTCAGCTCTCCAGAGCTTGTCTGGGCTCTCTCAGAGTCCTAAATAAGATTGGTTGGGAGCAATTGGTTGGGGCTCTTCGCCCCGCTCCAGGCCACCAAATCGATCGGGCTGCGGGGCAGCGCCTTCCAGGGCTCACCACCAGCTCCCCATCCCTTTGCCACAGGGATTTTCCTCCTGCCACGGATTCACCCTGCCCCGAGACCGCGATCCAAGCCACCAGGCATCCCTCTGAATGAGCCTCCTGTTCTCGGGGTCATCAGAGGGGAAATCTGATCTCCCCTCTGAAGCGGCAGCTCCCAGGGCCCGGGGCAGCGGGAATCTGCTGCTCCTCACCCAAAGTGCCGTCGGTATTTGATCACTCCCAGTGTTTTGACATGGTTTGCAGTCGGATACGCTCGTCCTCAGCCTGTGAACTTGGAGGTGTCAATCAGGCAAGCACATGTCAGCCTCCACAGCGGTGCCTAGGAGGTCTACAGCTGACAAGATAACCTTTTCATGACCAACACAGTTGCCACTTGGAGGAGTGGAGACAAGAATTTGGTCTGATCTCCAACAAGATAAGGAGCTGTTATTCGCCTTTTTTACACCTGAGGAGCTTCTAACCCTTTTATTGCCTTTCTATCGCAACTCTTCACTGTTTCATAAAGAGGGTTTTTTGCTCCTTTCTCAAGTAAAATTTCCATGCAGGTGACGAGCAGTGGAAGAAAAGACTCAGAAAATGCAAGCAACAGCTCTGGACAGCTGGTGTTACCTGGGATCTTGCTCACAGACCTACCATAAAGCCAAGTGGTTTGGGTCTTATCATGTGTCACAAGACAAGTGTTTTCTAATGGGTGGCATTAAGTGTCCAGAAGAGTGTCAGTGTAGGTATCAAACATCTGGCAGATTATTTCACTCTGGAAAGGTGACAGGAACAACCAAAGCTTTGACATTTTCCCACAAAAATAAAAAAAAAACCCACAAAAAACCAACCAATGAAGCAAAGAAAACACAGAATTTGTCTCCTTTCATGTCGAGCTCCAGGAAATGACCCTGCCTGTGGGTTCCTTGGGATCCAGGCCCTCTCCACCTCCCACGTGCAGGGAGATGAGCCATGGGTGTGGGCACATGAGAAGCTCTCCTGCAGGTTCTTCTCCCCCAGGACATGCCCACATCACACCAGACAGCAGCCCCCAAACACTCAGGGCAGCAAGAGGCCGTGACCTGGGCTTCCCACATGGCTGTGTCCTCACTGCACCAGGATTTTGGTGGGGTTTGGGGCTTCCTCCCACCCACACCAGCTGGCAGGAGCCAGCACAGCTCTGCTGACTGCAGCTACGTGCTGAGCCAGGCCACTCAGAGTAAGGCAAGGCTCCAGCCCTTCACCTGGAGGTGGTTTTCCTAGACAGCAAGGTCACATCCTCCCAGGAAGGTTGTTTGCTCCAGCTCCTGCACTGCAAGTCTCCAACAAATACCTAAAAACCACCACCAAGACTCAAATACCCAGCTGCATTACCCAGCACGGGCCAATGCCATTTTGATTTTCACTCCAGGCTGCATCTGCCACGAGCTCCTGAGCCATCCATTCACAAAGAGCAGGTTAATTAACATAATATCACTCAGAGCTGGCTGCCTATCGGTATCATCTAATCAGTGTCCTCAACTGACAAGAAATCTCTGACTTGATCTCTCCTTGGCCACCGAGCAGTGCCTGAACAGAAGCAGCTTTGTTTGGAGTCACTGGAGACACAAAGGTCAGCTCCCAACCCGTTCCTGGCATTGCCCTTGCCTTGGAGAGCGAGGTAGAACCTGTTTTCATGTCAGACCTTGCTCTTTTCTTCCTGCCTTTGACAAGAAGGTATCGTCTGTCCCAGGGAGCCACTCCCCAGCTGCCAGCGGGCTCAGACATGGTGTGGCAAAGCAGCCCCACAAAAGGACATCCCAGGGGGACAAACCAAGGGACACCTGACAACCCACCCACCACCTGCAGAAGATAAGGCCCAGCCAGTTCTGCTTTGGCAGGATCCATCCACACCCTGAAATAAGGGACAGGAGGATATGAAATCCAGATGACAGGAGGACCCACATCTGCTGCTCCATGGCAAGATTGCAAACTGGGCTCAGGTTCGGCCTGTGTCGAGCACAGGGCCAACTGGCAGAAGAACAGGTTTAAAAACCACAAATTCTCCCAACTTTGTTAGACAAAAATCTGCCCTCATCCGTAATTCTGCTCCTTTCCCAAAATTACATACTCTATATAATAATTTTATACATATGCCCACATTTGCATCAAGAGACTGTTATTATAGGGTGTCATTACATTTTTACAAGATTTTAAAAGTAGGCAACTAGTCTGCATGACACGGGGGTTTTTATTTAGGGGGAAGCAATTTAGCAAGTGTAAATTGGCAGCTGGGCTGATGAAAAAACCAGGCTGATGCACCTGAGCATTTTTCAAACAGGAAATAGCTGTGGGTGGGGAAGACAAACCTTTTCTCTTTAAAACATTAATAACAAACCCCCACAAATTTAAACATGACGTTTTAAGAAGCATCCGAGGGAGAGGAGTTTTTGAGGCAGTTTTAACAACCATTAAGGGAAACCTATTTTTACACTGCAAGCTTGGGTGGCGCTAACCCAATTGCCTAGAGCTGATCCTACAAATCATGCTGGTTTTGTGGGCCACAGCAGCTCCTCCAACACCACCTATAATCCACCTCCCCCAGATCTGCCCTCTTTTCCACACAGCACCAGCCAAGTATTTCTCCAAGCCCACCAAGCCCAGTGCGAGAGAAACCTCAAGCCATAATTTCCCCAACCTGTCCACCACAAGTCCAACCCTGTTGCTGTCTTGAAACAGGGCAAAACCAGGCAATCCAGGCTGCTCTTGGGCTGCTCTTTTTTTTTACAACTTAGAAAATAAAAATGACAAGTTTTCTTCTTAGGGTCATGTTATTTTAGAATTTTTTTTTTTTTTTAATTTTTTTTAATTTTTTTTGGCAGGTTGGACTTGGAAAACATTTCCTACCCCAGGAGCTGCAGAGCAGGGACTGATGATGGGCAGCAAGGAGCACACCTTGAACAACTCACAAAAGGAGCTGTGGATCCCCACTTGCTGGCATATTCGTGGAACCTCTCTGTGTCTGGGAGCTGTGGTAAGAGCAATTCCTTTTGGGAAACACCTGCCCATGGCTTTAAGGCAGTCCTAGCACGGAGTTGCTCGTGGTCCTGACATGGAGGGCTGGGGCTCATGGAGTGCTACTCCAGGTGAGAGCTTGGTGAAGACCCCCAGCAAGCCCCTCTCTGCCACCATGGGTGGGAGCCAGAGACAGATGTCTCACCTTCCAGACCCACCAACCTCTGCCTGTTGGCCACAGAGGACACTCCAAGGGCCACTTTAGTCCCAGACCACAGAATATGATGAGACCCCAGCACGGGTTGCCCAGAGAGGCTGCGGATACCCCACCCCTGGAAGTCTTCAAGGCCAGGTTGGATGGGGCTTGGAGCAACCTGGACTAGTGGAAGGTGTCCCTGCCCATGGCAGGGGGCTGGAACTGGATGGTCTTTAAAGTCCCTTCCAACCCAGACAGTGATGGGGTCTCTGATCCTGTGAATATTTGATATGGAAAACCCACCAAGCAAAAAACTTCTGACAAGACTTTGCTGGCCTCAGAGATGACTCAAACCTTTCCCTCTCCCAGTCAAGAGGACACAACCACGCAAGAAAACACCAGGCTTTTTTTTTTTTCCTTTTTTTTTTTTTTTTTTGTTTCTTCAACAGAGATTTTTTTCTTATTTACTTATGGGGTTGTTTTTTTTTTTTTTGTCTTTTTAATTTCATCTTGGTGCGTGATTTCTGACAGTGCTGTCAGAAAATCAGCCATCTCCAGACCCTGCTACATTCAGTGTCAGACCGGACGGCGGCGACGAGCCAGTGTTTTGAGCCTCACAGTCACTTGCACGTCTCTACGGGTTGTCGCTTACATCGCTCGTGAACAGCAGCACAAAAGGACACAACGCATGAAAACGAGAGTGGGGATGAGGTGAGGGCCAGCTGGAGGCTCGACCCCAAGGAGAACTTTCCCCAGGTTCCCAGAGTTCTGGCAGGGATGAAGCTGAGCGCGGGGTGGGAAAGGCAGGGCTGTCCCACCTTTCTGCTTCCTTGGGCTGCAGCGTTTCCCGGTGCCAGGACACCAGCTCACACCGGCCTAGCACCCAGATTTGGGGACATGGGATGGGGTCACTGGTGGAGAAGCAGGGCTGAGCCCCGATGGGCTTGGATGTCCAGCATGTCCACCCCACACTGACCTCCTGGACACGTCCAGCAGTGGGGACAGGACTTGGCCACCACGCTGCCCCCATCAATCTGCTGGCATAAAGCAGATTTCTGGACCCAGCTCCACTCTGTGCTTCAACTGCACCTCGAAGCCAGTGGGGCAACCTGAGAACACCAAAAATAACCAACCCCAAAACCCAAACCTGTCGCCTGAAATGAACTGATGTCCCTTCCCTGCCACTGGGCTTTTGCAACCTAAACATAACGTTTATAAAAAGTAAAATTATTTCCTCTTATAACTTAAGTGCATTGAGTATTTTCCTTAAATATGGTTCACACTGAAAATAAAGTTACTTTTGCTGTACAGTAAATTTCTGATAGACTTAGAAATAAACTTTTTTTTTTTTTTTTTGTTGATACAATCTGGCGGGCGTGGCCGTGCAGCGCAACACTCCCGGCCACACAGCTCTGCACGCAACACGCGCGCGCGCCCACACACACACACATCCACACACACAGCCCCGTCCTCAGGAACAGGGGCAATGTTAGGGGTTTCTAGCTTTCTATATTCGCATGGGAACATCTATCTTAAAAGTCCCTACGTTTAAGCAGCGGGCACTCCAACTGGTTGAGGGAAGAGAGGGGGGGGGAAAAAAAAAACCCCTGCGGCGATTTTCCCCTCGTGTTTCTCCAAGGCGCTGTCAGCCTTCCAAATTTCAAAGGCCAGCAGATGCTGCAGGTTTTCTCCATGAGGACCAGCAGTATGCTCTTCCTAAAGGTGGGATTCAGCGCTGGGATGCTCCTACGGGAGAATCCCCCTTCCCCCTGCTGCAGCGAGAAATGTGTGCCCCCCCATTTGAAATTTGAAAATCCACCAGCCAGCTGCAAAAACCACTCCTGTCCCTAATCCTAGGCTCCTAAGAGAAACATGAAACTATGCAACCCATAACTTAACTCGCTCCTTGGGAATCCCAAGCTACAACATTATTTGACGGCGTCCCAGCAGTGTCGCTCCCCTCCCTCCCAGCCCCGGGGAGCTCTGCGGCCCCTCCTGGGGGGACCACGCTGTGCTCAGGAGGTGAAGTAGGAGTTCTGCATGGAGTACAGGTGGTCGATGGGGTTTCCCACTCGTGCCTGGAGCGGCCCTGCGTCTGCCGTGCCCAGGAAGCAGTCCCCCAGGTTGCTCAGTGAGGTATCGTCGCTGTCCAGGTCGTGGAAGAGGGGCTCGGCACCTTGGGAAGCAAGGAAGGGACAGAAGGGGTTCAGAGCCTGCTTCCTCCTCCAGCACCTTGACAGTGCCTGGTACCCCCAGCTTTTGCAGTGATGCCTTAGGATTTTAGCTTTACTATTTTTCAGATCCTGTACTGCACTGGTACATAACTCTAAACTCCATGGAAAGTGTCAGCTCCTGTCTCCACATTTTGGTCAGACAGAACAATTCCTTTAGGCCTGAGACTCAAGAACGCCCTACTGCTTCAGGCCCTGAAAAGTATCAGCAAAAGTGAGTTGGGGAGGAGCAAACTGGGGGTAAATTACTCCATTACCTGAAGCTGTAATTGGAGAATTAACCCCTCATATGCAAATGGACCAAACTTAACAATTGTCCCAAAAACTCATGACCATCCATTTTGGGTATTGCCAAAAGGCTTCATCTGCCCTTAATGCACTTGAAGGCCCTTCATTAAATATATCCCCTTTTATCCTTTTAACTTTGGCCTCTATTTCTAACTAAGCCCAAAACAGGCATCAGTAGCATGAAATATTTAGGGGTGATGGGACCCCACCACAACCCAGCATCTCTTTGAAGGAGAGAAGGCCAAGAGGCCATCCCCAGAGCCCTACCATAGGGGTGCATGTGGTCTCCAGGCATCTGGGGCGGGGTGAGCCCTTGCCGGAAAGGGTCGGAGCCGTAGACACTCTGCTCCATGCCCAGCAGCTGCTGGGGCGGGGGCAGAGCGGTGTAAGGGTTCAGCATCCCCTCCAGCCCTGTGCCGCCGCCCCCGCCGTTTGTCTGGGCTGCAAGATAAGATCAAGGTAAGGTCAAGCCATGGCTGCCGCTTTTTAGGTGGCTGAGCTCCGCTGGGAAGCCTGGAGAGGGCTGGGAAATAGGGAAACCCAAATTGTTGTGGGGGGAGTACCTGAGCTCAGGCGCTGCGTGTTTTGCTGGTCCTGCTGCTGCTGCTGCTGCCTCCTGGCGAGCTTCTTCATCTGGGAGAGAAGAAAGGGGAAAAAAGCCCAGAATTAAATCATCCCCCTGGCCAAAGCAAGGAGGTAGGGAGCCCCAGCCATGGATGCTGGCACCCCTTGTACCCACCTTGGCTCGCTGGTTCTGGAACCAGACCTGCACCACACGGACGCTCAGCCCCGTCTCTGCTGCCAGCGTCTCCCGCACCTGGGGGAGAAGAGAGACAGCGGCGTCTCTCAGCCCACTCAGCTGGTCAGGGGCACTTTAGGAAGGGTCAGATCAGCCAGGCCAAGTCCATGCTCAGCACCCAGGACATCCCCAAGAGCTGGAGGCATCTGGGGCCCTTCTCCCCATACCTTTCTGCAGGGCTTGGAGGAGACCTCAAATGATGCCTTGAATGCTCTCCGCTGCTGCGTGGTCAGGATGGTCCGAGGCCTCTTGGGCCGTTTGTGATCCTTCCCATCCTCAGTGCCCTTCCCCGAGGCCTGGCCCAACTTGCAGATGCTGTCTTCATCATCACTTTTGCCTAAGGATGACAAAAAAGCAGGTCCTTTACAGACAACAGGCGGCACACGCCATCTCCAGCACAGTCAAAATAATCCGAGAGATTTAAAACAAGCTGGTGTTGGTGGGGATCTTGTTCTGAGTATGTGGGAGAAGCTGAGGTTTGGGACTGGCTGCCCTTTGGCAGCTCAGAGAGTGGGGTGTGAGGGAGAGCTACTGCTGACTGCTCAGCCAGCAGATGTGCTTTTGGGTTCTTCTTTTCCCCAACAGTGTGAGCAGCTGCAGTGTGAAACCCTGGGACAGTTGATTTTCCCTCCACCAGAGCCAGATCTCTGCCTGCTTCACAGGAATTTCCATCCAGGACACAGCTGGGGGCACATCTGGACACAGACACACTGGTCACATCCACGTGAGGGACCAGCAGTCGTCAAGGACCGGTGTGTGCCCCTGGACAGCCCAGGTGGAGACAGAGATTGGGTCCCTCTGCCCAGGCAGAGCAGGCTGGGGGAGGTCAGGGTGATCAGGGATGCTCTGAGACCCCTCACAAACACCCCCTGACCTCCCTTACCATGGAGGACAACTCCCTTTAGAGCAGACTTGTATTCATACATAGAAAGCAGCACCTTCCTGCCTGTTATTCCCTTCTTTCTGTGGAGTTTTAAATCTCCCTGGACAGAAAGCCAGGGTCTTTCAGCCTTCACCCCTCAGGTATTCACTGTGATGTGCTGCTCCACTGCATTCCCAGGCACTGGGATGCATCTCCCTGCTGCTCTCCACCACTCAAGCACGGAGCTTTTGGGCGGGAAGTGGACAATGCCTCTTCCTCATTTACTGCTGATGACCTTGCTTGCTCACCACTGCTGTGGTGCAGGTTTGACAGCACCTTCCCTCTGGCTAGCTATAAATCACTTACAGCCTTTTCCAGCAAGTTCCTGCGCTGTTCACTTGGGAATTGACAATGGAGCTGAGGTGCTGGTTTGATAGGGATGCAAGGCTGTGCTTGAACCAAGTCCACGCCAGGGCTGCCGTGGCTCTGGGAGATGGGGATGGACCAGGGAGTGTGAGCCTGGCTCAGGGTGAAAACAGGCCAGGTCCAACCCCGTGGCAAGAGCTAAACATGGATCATACACACCAGAAACGTTCCCATCCAACCCAGGTGGGAATGAGGAAAGACTGGAGCAGATCTCCAGGGCGAGGGGAGGCAAAGATCCCAGTGGAGCAGCAAGAATGCTCTCAGGCACCAGTTACCTCTCCTCTCCACACTACGGGGCTCTCTCCTGGGTTCCAGGATCTTCCCTGATAGGGGAAGGGATGGACATTCCCTGGGAGGGATGGGACAGGGAGAGCTCTTCATGCTGGCAGTCCCCAAACAGCCAGGAGCTGGGTCTGTCCCCTGGGAACCAGAAATCTGGGAATCAGAGCCTTGCCGCTGCTCAAGCTCCCCTCACAGCACATCCATGACATTCCCACACCAACAGGGAAGACAAACTGCTGTTTCCTTGCATGTCCCAGCCCGAGGGATGCCACCCTCTGGCATCCCAGAACCCCGGAGAGGGGAGGCCCAAGCTGTGGGGCCTCTGATGGGGATAAGAGCAGTGGCTGCTGCCTCCTCAGTTCCAGGTCCCTGCTCTGCCAAGCTGCTGGCTTTCCTGAATGCTGAAGGAGTTTAATTTTGATGGAAAGGTAGAGATTTTTACAACTCATGGGAGAAGGAACGTCAACTGGTGCCCAAAGCTGTTTGCACCCAAGGGTGAGGTCAGCACCCCCTCCCCTCCAGCCCAGGAGGGGCAGAGCTCAGCATGGCAGAGCTGATGGGCTCCATCAAGTCCACGATGCTCAAAACCCACTCCAAGGGGGGAAAACCCGCTCAGAGCAGCCTCTCCAAGCCCTCCCCCCGCCAACACCTGCTCCCCAAATCCCTCCCAGTGTCAAAGGGAAAGAAGGAAAAGTGAAGCCGGATTTGGCGGGGTATTACTTTTAATTAACTCTCCCTTTCAAGCCTTTCCCCACTGAGGAGGGGGGAGAAATTAATGAGTGTCTGGGGCTGCCCCTGACGTCACCTGGGAAGGGGCCGGGGCGATGGATATTGTGCAGCGTGCCCTCGGTCCGACCTGGCGAGCCCACATCCCGCCGCCGGGGCCAGGACATTCCTCGCTCAGGAGGATTTAGGGAGAGGAGAAACGTTAGGACGCTTTTAATTGGAAAGCAGGGTCCTCTTTCAGAGGGGCTTGTTTACTTAGGCTGGGCGGCGGAGGCTCGGGGGAGGCAGTAATTGAAGCGAGGGTTTGGGAGATTACAGACAACATATGGCTCGCTTTTTATCTGCGCTTTCTCATAAAGTGGCCCTTGGTGTGTGGGGGAGGGAGGG